TGGGAAATTATGAGAAATCTTTAAAGGCCAGAATGTTTGTATGGTCCTGGGCTATAACTGGCCGCTCGCTTGCCCTAGTAATTTTGAGTTTTGGTATGGGTTCTAAGCGATTGTTTCATTTTTTCGAGGAAAAAAAATCGATACCTCTCAAGTTCTTCAATAAAAATTGTGTTTGACCTTTGAAAAATTGTTTGAAAATGAACCATTTCTACCTAATTTTTCATGAGGAATCGAATTAGCGCCATAAGAAATCGATCCGAATGCATGTAGACCCTCTAATATTGACTTTTAAAAAAATTCACCGTGTTTTTTTCAAAAATACCGCGCAGGGTCCGAAATTCAAAACCGGAAAAAGTGCCAGAAGCAAAGTTGCTTATTTTTCAGTAAAAAATGACATGAGATTGGTTCGGAGCAAGTTCCTATCGAAATGACCAATCGCACCACCCTAATCAATAATAAACTGAACTGTTTGTTCTTCATCAATCATTGCACGTGATGCGATTTCTTGCATCTTAAGAATATATCCCATAACGCTGTTTTCTGTTGACTGAAATGTTGTTTTTCGCAATCGATCAACCACTTCACTTACCAAATAAGTATGTCCAAAATTTGCCAAAAAATTCTTTCGAATATCAGAAGCTGAATGATCTGTACGCAGGAATAATTCTGCATCCGATCCACTTTTCATCGATTGACGGAAAAATTTCAAGCGTGTTATTTGATCGGCATTCACAGAGTCACAAGCGCACTCAAAATCACTAAGCCATTTATATGCATCGTAATCGTCGGTACCGCTGAATAATGAAACCAAATGTTTGATATCATTGTAAAGTGGTTTGAGAAATTGCTGTGTGATCGGTGCGATTAATTGCGATTCCATTTCGATGAGCTGCTTTTGTATGATCATCAAACGTAATTTGGCCGCCAATAATTCTTCTTCGGCTCGTACGTCGGTCAATTGCATTGAGGTTTTTGATTTTGGTAAATTGAGCAATGAACGGTTCAACTCAGTTTGTTCATTTGCATCGACTTTGTCGTTCAACGCAATTGACGGTATGTTGTTGTTACTGATTGAATTTCCATCATTAACATCCATTACAATCAAGCCTCCATTATTTTCGGAATAATTTGAACGATTCTCACCGATAACACCATCAATTTCGAAAATTATTTCTGAAGCAATGCTGTGAGCATCGTATGATTGTGAATTGTCAAGTCCATCGGCACCCGAAATATAGGTTTGTGAATCGTTCACTTTGCACGGAATGTTGCTTAATTTTGTTGGTGCACTACAGCTGGCCGAGTGTTGTACAACATAATCAGCAAAAATTTTGCCGGAAAATCGATGTTTTTTCCTCGTAAATGAATCATTAATTCGGATTTATTCATCGAATTCTCCATTATTTTGATTTTTTGACATTTAATTCAAAAATTTATGGACAGTTTAATATTTTCACTTCTAAACCAAAAACTAAAATTTCAAATTCAATAAATGTTCTCTGATTTGTCCGTTCTTAACGACGACTCCATTGAGAATGACTCTGTTTAATTGAAATTCCACATTGCATCAACTGAACTGTAAAAATCAATAAACTTCTAAACGGGCATAAATGGATCAAGCTTTCAAGCTTGTCTACCCATTAAAAATTACAGAGAAAAATGTTTTTAATTGAAAGCACTGATGCAGAGTGATGACTGCAAATTAGTCATTGACAGATGACAGTTAACTGTCATTTCATTTGTGATTTTGTTCTCATCGCCTTTTTTCTTCCAGCCAATGTGTTGCATTCTTCCACAGAAAAGAAAAAACAATTTTCAAGCTGCCGAAGGACTGCATAAATTTTCAATCAACACACCATTCATACCGTTGATAGCTAGGGGCTTAATTCAAAATTTTCAACGACTGAATTTTATAATAATATCTAAATTAACTGAATTTTTCTGAAAACGAATGAATTCCGGTGAATTCTACGGCGATTTCATTCAAATATGTGAGATAGTGGTGAATAGTTTCTGCTGGCAATTACTGCAATATTTATATTTTGTATAACAAAATTGTAAATGTTTTTTATATTTTTTTAATAAAAATTAATTTTATTTTCAATTTTGAGCGATTTTCTATCGAAAACAATCGGAAATATTGAAAAAATAATAAATTAAAAAATATTGCGGTTATCATAACCTAACTTTATTAATTTGACACATTTCATTCTATTCACACGAATTCACCGAACTCATCAATAATAACCACTCGATTCAAAAGTGTGAATTTACGTGAATTCCTGCGAATTTTTTTGCCGTATTAAGCCCCTAGGTTGATAGAGAAAGACCTGCAGACAAGTGTCTGTATGAATTGAACTAATTAGAAATCACACTCATACCGATGCAAAACAAAAAATAACTCATCAAAAGTTCCGTAATTATTCAAATCAATATTGAAAGTAGTTTTGTAAAAGTTGTATCCGATGAAGAACCACAGGTTTGTGAAGCTTTTTGATATGCTCCCTTCCTCTAAAGGCTCAACATACAATATTTGATAGAGAGTATACTTTTGCAATACTCACTGTGTATTTTCATCTTCATTAATTAAAAATACAAAACAACATCAGCGTATTGTATGCAAACATCGGCCACATCAAATGTCTAAACAAGAGCCGTTTCAAACAATACAACACACAACATCAATTGTCTTCATTTGACGACATAATTGAAAAGCTGTGTACGAGTTTTGTCTGCATTCAGGATCCCGTTGTCGGAAAATGACGTAAACGTTAATGTCGATGCCTTAAAATGTGTCGACTCGTTTTGTACACATGTATCACAATTCAAAAAGACACACACATGTGGCGCTTACATTCCATGGACTCATTTACAGGGCAAACGTTTTCTTGTAGTACACAGAGATTATTCATCATGATGTAACAATGGCAATCAACATGCTTTATGTATTATTAGTATGGTAAATATTAGCTTCACCGAATTTATGATAAAAATACGCTTAGAAAAACGGTACAGGTGTATAAATAAATATTTTCCGGTATATAATACACGCGATTAGTTTGTTCACATACACCATCCATGATGCGAATATTTTTATTTCATTGTTGTTCGTCGCATTGTTTTCGCCTCACAAAACGCTTCATATTCCATGGTTTTTTTTAATACAATGTATAGATTAAATTGCCTACACACATCTATGTGGCGCCTTCATAATTCCTTATATTGACGAACGAACCAATTGGGGTGTGCATATGTGGCGTGTTTCATATGCACAAAAACACCAAATGGATTCAAATAAAAATCAAATGAACATTTTGAAACATACTCAATGGAAATATCATTATGTAAGCAATGCGGTTCGCTGCTCCTTTTCACGAAGAATGTGATTTGTAACACATTTCATTTATTGTTCACTTGGATTTGATTCAGATGATGAAGTATTTCATCGAAAAATCGATTCGAATACGACATTTGGACGAAAAGAGGTGAATGGTTCATTCGTATCCATTTTTAATGAGAAATAACATCCGTTCATATAATAACAAAATTCAAAGGAAAACTTAATGACGGAATACAAATTATGGCAGTTCAAATGTTCAGATTTTGCTGATTTTGTTTGGGAAAGTTGTTTTTTATGAGGAAAACGAGTTAAAGTTTTATTATTACACGAAAAGGGCAATACGAGGAATATAAGTCATTCTCATGGGAAAGTGAGAAAATGAAAGGAGTATTTATTATGTAACATGGTAAAATAAAAAAAAGCTCATTTTCTTTTGGTTCACTTGATTAAACGTTGTTTTGGTTGAAGCTGAAATCCGGAAATAAAATCTCTTTCGTTCACATTTTGTGTTGCTTTTGGCATCGTCGCACTTCAAAAGGCTACATCGAAATTGAGATAAGAAAATTTGTGGTAAATCAGCATCTGCACATGTGAACGAACAGATTAAGTGAACGCATCACTTTGGCATCATTTGCATTCGTCCATCTGAATCGTTCATCATTTATCAGCTTAACAGTAAAAATTGAATAGGCCGAAAATACATTTCAGCCACCACTGTTAACGCCTACGACCACAAATCCGTAAATTATGTTGTGAAAATGGATTCGGCAACCTCTTCCGTATATATGTATATTGTATAATCTTTGTTAGTGCAAATAGATAGATATGGGTGAATGAGCACACTTGCTCACTCTCTGACACATCCGATGGGAACTGAATCGACCACAAAATGTGCTCTATTGCTTCAATGTCCTTTCGCTTTTGTCTTTCTGATACTGTGTTTGTTTTTTACTTGTTCTCACACATCATTGCATGCAGTAAAAGTATTGTTATAATCTCAAACGATTTCATTCTATAACACTTTGATTTAGAGCCTTGAAAAACACACAAAGCCCGTTTTTTTACTTTCGTTCGATAAACTACATCATTGCAAAAAAAAAAAAAACTTAAAATGTTCAGAGATTGATGAGACAATTTCAAATTGTTGTCGTATCGTACATAACAAATGCATGTTGTTGTTCAAAAAGTCAGTTCTGTTGAGGTAAGTTCCTTTCGATATATATTTTTTTCATTTGGTATGTATAACTTGTTTGCGCTTCAGACATTGGAGCTATTAGACTTCCCATACCGACACTTTACATCGCGTCCCAGAGTGTTTATCACTCGAAAACCAACAATGCAAACAAACGCAAGTTTTACGATGAAATAGGTGAAAGAACATCAACAATGGGGCTGTATGGTTGCCGAAGAGAAAAAAGAACTCATTTTTTGTTGTTGTTCTCACAAGAGCATATGCACATGACGAAATCGATTCGTATCATGAATATGAAAACGTTGCACACACAAGTCAAGAGTAAGCGAAAGTACGTAGAATTCGCCTGAGCTATTGTCGAATCGACGGCAAAACCGTAGAACTATATCCATGCACAGAGTGTACACTCTATCGTCATAACAAAACTGTAGCGTCGTAGACGAACTGAGTTCAGTTATGGTTTGATTGTCGTGGAGCACGCACCGTGCGGTCTGTATCGCTCTTCACAATCGAGTGAGTTTCTCTCGATATTTTCACGCCAAAAAAAAAAAACAAAAGCCAACAACTCCGTTTGTATTGACTAAATTCAGTTGCGTGCCAAATTTTATTGTTCTCGATTTGCTGGTGGAATTACGATAAATCTATTCAGCTTTTAAACGTGAAAGGGAACAAGTGAAAGCGAATCGTGCAAAAGCCGTTAAGAAAGAGTGAACCAAGTCAAAAAAAGACATTCAAATTACTTGACATTTTTCTTCTGATTTTCGATTGAACACTTTTTCCATTTACTGCCCTTTTTTCCCGGAATTGATCGAATGAAAGATGTGATTTACGATATTTCATTTCATTATCTTATTTTTTTTGTAAAAGTCATTTCATGTGTCATCTAAAGTCAATGTTTTATCGCTTTATTAGCTGATCATTGAAAGGAACTGGTAAATTTTGTGCGTGTACATCAACTGATTAGTGTCAAAAATTTCGTGTGAAATTCATTTCAATAATTAAGTAGGCAAAGGCATTAATACTTCAAAATTGATACATAAACTGATTGTTGGAACATGAATAAAAGTGAATTGGTTCAAGTGTTAAATGAGTTCATGGCATAAAGGAAACTTCGTAGCCACGTATTTTGACATTTAGGTAATTATATATATTTAATTTACGGAGTGTTTGTTAAACGAAGAAGTGAACCGTTTTCTTCCGTTTCGAAGAGCATGTTTTTGTATGGGAAATCATAGCAATCTGTTAACACTTATGTTATCGATGAAATCAAACAATTTGTCTCAGAACATTACATATAAAAGTGCTTATCAAAACACATTGACCATTAACTATGTCGACAAATTTGATCGATTGTAATAAATATTTGCGGGAGTGGCAAACAGGATGCCATCAAATCCAAAATGACTTTAAAACTTTTCGTCACGCAAAAAAAAAACAAACTCATGAATGTTTTGAGCTTTGGAGGCGTGAAAACAGATTGAAATAAATTGTTCCCCTTGTCAAACACTTTTTCTACAACTTTAAGTTGAAAAAGAATTCTTTCTCTTCTTACAAAATCCAAACCGAACGGAAAGCGTGCGTTCAGCTAAGATAGCTCTGGGAATAACACAGAGAAAAACTATTTGAAAGTTTATGCAAAATTGTAATTCTTTGTTGTGCATTATCTCTTTGAATAAAACTTTAAAACTTTCAATATGGAAAGAAAATCGACTGATCAAGCTGAATTCTTGACTGTTTTGAAAGAAATGGTGCTATCATCGAAAATTTCAACACACATTTTAAAATTCTGCTCAAGTTTGTTGAAATTGAGACCGAACTTCCGCTGGCAAAAAAAAATCGAACGCAAAAAAAGAGATATATAGCAACCGAAATCAATAAAGAGAAACAAAGATAAGTGCGGTCCAATTTGACTATGCATATTTGGACGATAATGGAAATTTCTGCTGACGCAGCCCATTAATCACGTTCTGATGAGAAAAGAAATAATTCATTTAGTTGAGACAGTCAGTCATCGATAATTCTTTTAATTAGTGAAAGTGAGCGTCTTTCCGTAATTAATTGAGTTTGAAGAGTCAATGAAGGGACGGGAAAAATGCAAATTTTTCTATCGAAAAGTGGTGAAAAGTTTCAATCAATTTCCGTTGTATTGACCTCATTTGGTCATTAATTTTAATAAGTACATCAAACGAAAACTTATATCGAACCGATTAGCAAAAATGAAGAAAAAAAATGCCGGTCGATATGAACTATTACAGATGCTTACACAAAAATGGTTGAAACAAGTGTAATGAACAAAGCTTCTGACGGTCGCGTTCCAGGGGAGTTTAATTTCAAAATTGTAAAGGGGTAATTTTCAAGATGTTCAGCTTCAAAAATCACATACATTGTGTACATATTCTGTACATATGTAATGAAAAGCTATATACATCGATTTGGATAAACTAAAGAAAAGCTCATTTTAATTTGCAGAAACTTAAACTATTTGTTCGATATGACCATCGGGATCAAAACGATTCTTTAGATAGAAGATTTGGGACGATACCCCTTCTATTCTCCTTCAATAAAAGTAACCTTGTTGCAAACCCCCATTTCGTGTTGAAGATAAAACGAAAAGAGCGCATAACGTTTTATTTAATTTCACTTAATTATTCCTTCCGTATTTTTTCTTTAAGCAAAAAAAAGTTGCAATCGACAATGAATTTTCGGCAATTTACATGCAAAATTTAAGTATTAACACAATTACAACATCGTTAGAAAGTCACCGCAACTGGATTAAAGTAATTAAAATCAAATTAACCCAGAAATTAAATTAGTTCCTCTTTTGTATCGCGTTTTGCTGTAATAACAGCAGTTTGAAGTAAAGTAAGCGTGAATTGACAAAAATCAACGGAAATCAGCTGGGAGATTCGATGTTGATACAATAAGTTTGATTCAATGAAATGCAAATTGAAATTAGTTTATGCCCCTCTTTTTTGGAAATCTATTGAAAAAAACAACGTCGAAATGCGGAAGTATAAAACAAATCGTTTGAATAATTTGAAATCTACAGTTTTTTCGCATTTCAAAAAAAAAAAACAACAATATTGCCGCAATCGAAGTGTACATCACTTATGTGTGCTTTGCATCTCCATGGAGCCAAGGCCGTCTCGGTGCCAGTAGTAAATTATCATTTACTCGGCAAAACTAAGTGATTTGTGGTTCATTGTGTTTTAATCAAACATTATGTTTGCTACCGTAAATTCATTTCGCTTGTTCATTTTTTTTGTTTGTCTCTATCGTATGCGTGTAACATAAACAATTCAGAAAAGTTTCGGCAATAAGTGGCTGTATCATTTGCGTTGCCTTTCAGACGACAAAAAAAAAATCATTCGGAGAAAAAACAGCGCTTCGCATAAAAATGCCAATATTATGTACATTTGTGTGTTGTTCAGGCGGGAGTTTTTACATTCGTTCCTCCTGATTCAATCTTTGTTTAAATAAATCAAAATATTGCGTGTATCCAAATGCGAGATCAAATACTCACAAGTGGAATGCGAACATTTTATTTGGATACGATGGAACGTCAACAAAAGGAATGTAAATGAAAATGCTTTTATTAAAAAAAAGAGAGAAAAAAAACTGCAAGAGAATTCTCAAAGAGATGGATACAAACTTTATACTTTTTAATTCACTTTTTCACTGGATACGATGAACCTTTCCAGCGAACGCTTCATTTAACTTCAATGGAAATCAAATAACAATGAATGAATTCATTTTACCAGCCCCGTCGGCACAATAAAGAAATAAGTGGTGTTCAAGATGTTGCATGAGGCTTACGATGAATTTTACGCACCGACAATCATGAGCAGACATTAGGCTCGAGCTATGCATATAGCGGCTGCTATTTTATAGGTGCTATTCATAGGCGCTATTTAATTTGTGTGCTGTGTTTAACACCGAGTAGGAATATCATGGCCTACTATTCTTTTGTACATTTGAATGTGAGTACGAGAGAGATGTAGAAAATAACGCACAATATGCATAAATGCATTAAAACGAGATAAATAGCGCCTATGAATAGCAGCTATGAAATAGCAGCCGCTATATCTATAGCTCAAACCTAATGTCTGATCATGAGGTCATGAGAGCAAAAAACGGCCACTCACATCATCATAGAAATTATGCTGAAAAAAAAATTGTCAATTAAATTGGAGGGTGCACGAAAATGGCGAGGAAGTTACATTGCATGGTCGTGATCGTCAACATTAGAAAAACATGAAACAAAATCAAAACAGGCATTGTTACCGCAAGAGGTCCACGTTGTCAGTGACCGACCAAAAACCGGGCTTAAAAGCATTGGAAAACGGCAAAATGCAAAACATATTTTCAAAGCTTTTGAGCCTTGAATTTCCATATTATTGCCTTCTTAAGATTTTAAAATAGAAACATTCTCTCGAGTTTTTAGTATTTATTTGAACTGAATTCGAATCGAATGAATAAATAAACTTTCTTTACGAATATTCTTTTTCATTCGTATTCACGTAAATGTTTTATCATGAACGCACGTCATCGCCGATATCAGAAGAAAGTCAAATCAAGCATTTTTCGTCATTGTTTTGTTCTTTCTCTTTTTCTCCCTCGCTGCTTCTATTCACTTCTATGTGTGTTGTGGCGATAAAAATCAATAATTTCGTTTTCTTTGACTGAAATTTATTTCGAACATGTTATGCTGTGACTGTGATGAAAATTAATTATATCTTAATCATCATAGGAATCGCTTGTATAACTTGACTGGGGTCAACAATTGGAAAAACAATTCCATTTCAACAAAATTGAAATAAAAAAGAAAAAAATGCGTTCAATTTTGGTCATCTTCAATGTAGATATTGTATTATCTAATGAAAGGTCATGCGATCTTCATTACGAGATATGAATTTGATGATGGTTTTTGTGTGTATCAATTTCGTATTGCGTCTAACGAATTTTGTGATTATGGTATGTGCAAGCATTGTTATGCTAACAATGCGAGAGTAACGACAGTCAAATGAAGAGAGAGAAAAAAAAACCGCGCGCACTTCATTCGTCTCATTCAGAATTGCGGTACAGAAATATCAGGCATCACAAGGCATCACGCAATATTAACAACACAAACAGAGATGGTAAATGCTTGAAAGGAAGAAAAAAAGGAAATCAAACTGTTTTTATGGCAAAGAGATAAAAGTTTGTACTCTCAATTTCAGTAAAACTGAAATAGAGCTCATTGCGGTTCATTTATATGTCCATCCCTGATGGTGCTAGTAAACTCAATGCTTCTTGAATATAATGATGTCTTCGCAGACAGTATAAACCACAATCGTACAATTATTTGAAGAATGCTCTCAATGCGTCGCTTTTTCTTTTCTTTCCAATTGTTCATTTGTTTGCAGCACCACCACCAACAAAAAAAGACCGAACAAAAATATAAAGAGCGACAAAAAGAAATGTGACTACAATATATGCTTAACGGTTATGATGCGTCTCAAGTTCGATGTCGATTTTTTTTGTTCGTCGATTTAATGATTGTGCCTATGTTACGTGCAATACAAACATTTAGCGGTTACGAGCACCGCAAATAAATGTTGTGGCACACGTAAATAATATTATGCAAATCGTGCCCGCAAAAACCGTTTTTTACCATAAACACACGCACGCATTTCAGCCCATATTATATAGACACCGATATCAAGACTGCCACTACCACCATTACCAAATGAATAAGTTAATAAGAACGACAGGCAAACAATGCCTGAAATTGTCTAGCAACAACCGAAATTGTGGCATTCATTTGATGAAGGACGACGAAAAAAAGAAATAAAGAACGTAAAACGTCGGACAATTTAGCAATTATATTTCCATTTGGAATATTATTTTGCCGGCCAACGAGTGTCGAATGTATTTTATGCTCAGTTTTGTCGAATAAATCACAGTTCGAACATTTTTTTTTTGCCGGAAAATTGCCAAAAGAAGATGACTGCGATACGAAATTGATTTATTATTTGATTTACCGATAAAACTGACTGTGTGACGGCCCGCATTGAAGTGAATGTCATGGTGTGTCTAATATCTCTTGATGACTATCACAGAAAAATCAATTCATTGTGTCTATATCGTGAGAGAGA